AAGGGCAAGGATGCTGCGTTCATGTGAGGGGCTCCAATGACACTTTACTATAAGAAGTGTTTATATAAGTCAGCATGGCTGAAACTTTTGCAGTATTGGAGCCACTCTGCACCCCTGCCATCCTATCTGGACCTCTGTCAAATCATCTCTTTCAATCATTCCTTTGTTTTTTGTTCGGATACTGTGATGCTGCTTTAAAATTGTTTTCCCTCCTGTTGGGAGAGCCCTTGCCCTGTGTAGAGCATCAAGTCCTTTCTGCTAGCTCAACAAGTTCATCCTTTCCTTGTAGACTGAACAGAGGTTAGTTGCGCCCTCCGGGGTTACGCAATTGGCTGGAGCAATGATTTCAAGACCTGAACCGGGGATTATGAGGAGGATGGTACAGCGGCACGGATGCGCGTTCGCGGCACGGACGCGTGAGGAGTGAGTCAGTCCCTGCAGTCGCCTGACACCTCCGAGTGTGAAACGAAGGTCCGTGGAGCTGAAGCGTCCGTGGAGCAAAGAGCTTTGCACCCTAGTTGCTTCTTGTTCCTAGTAGTACGGCAGCCCCCGAACGTAGCGTCCGATCGCTCCGTTCGTAGCCATGCCAGGAGCCCCGAACGTAGCTTCTTGTTCCTAGTAGCTTTGCACCCCTGGCGTCCTCCCCAGCCCTTTTTCTATACGCTTTTGACCGTCCTGGACCTCTTCGGAAACTGCTGCTCTCTTCGACCCGCGCGGCTGCTGAAAGCCCCGGAAGCTGCTCCTTGCCGGGGAAGAGCTGGAGGATTCGGCCCATGTGGCCATGGCGCGGACGTGGCGCTCGGTGACGGGTCCGATCCCGAAGCCCGGAAGCTGTGACGCAGCCGGAACCTTTGCTTCGCTGGAGTGAGGTGAGTTCGTCCAGTCAGAATCAGCATATGGCTGTGGGTCATGGCAGGTAGGTTAACCTCCTTAGTGGTTGATTTTGTTGATTTTTTCGTGGACAAAAACGCAGCGTTTGCCGGTGCCAATTGTCCTGCGACAGGGCATTGCCAGGCATTTTTGGGTGCGCTTTTCTTACATCTACATCAGGATAACTCGAGGTTGCATCTGCCCAAAGTCTTGGAATCCAAACGTCCTGCGCAAGCTTCTGTCTTCTTACCAAAAAATCTATGACTGTCTGGTGACTATGTATCTGCTAAGAACCATATGTATTTACATGTCATCACTAACCAATGCGCTGCATGTGCCATCCCAAATGGACTCATCACTTGTTCCTCATCCAACTGAGCCACCGAGGTCGTGTATCGTCGTCTTGCACCTAGGCCTTCGTTCGTGTCTCGTCCCACAGGATCGCCCTTTACCGAAGCTGGACGAGGTGTGCGAAGGCGACCGCTGTGTGCGACCGCTCCGCTGTCCGTCGCCGGTGGATCGGCCAGAAGTGGCTCCAGAATCCGGTGGCAAGCCACGCGAGTTTGGACGGTTTTTGTTCTAAATCCGGTCACTCTTTTTGGATGATTTCTTTTTTCAAGTCCATGTTGTCATGCCCAGGTCACTCTGTGGGTCTTTTGCGCCCTGGGCGGGCCCGCCTTCACGTGGAAGAGCACACTGCGAGCAGTGCGGGGTTTGAGTCAAAGGCTTTTCCCCGGAAGGATCTGAGGTTGGTGACACGGTCAGATGGCTATGTGCTTGGCAAAAACACCTGCAACGTTCAGATCATGGAACGGCCATGGTGCTTGGATGCCTTCCTGGTGGATCCTGCGGTGCCGGTCGGATGGTCAGACCGTTGACCCGCCGTCGGAACGGCGCGGGGGGGCCCGCGATGTGGAGCTCAACATGATGCAACATCGGCGGAGTTGGAGGTCTTTTAGTTGGAGGTCATTGACTTCGGGGATGCTTACGGAATGCTACGAATTGGAAGGCGAAGGTTTTTCTTGATCAGCTTCAACATCCAGCTTCACTTTGGATTCAAAGACGGCTTCAGCAAAGATGAGCAGAGTAAAAGCGGCAGGTTGCTTGAGGAGGTTAGGCTACCTCGGCAGCTAGCCGCTAGAGCCAGCCTTCAAAGCTGTCACAGCTGTGGTAAGCTCGACTGGGTACCATACGGTGCCTGGCAGGGCTCAAGTCCGGGAGCAAAACCCCCTCGATGGCGGATTCAGAAAAATCTAACAGAACTCACCGGTGCACAGCATGCACGAGGCTCAATTGCCCCTTCTTGCAAGTATATGTTGGCCTATATATATATAGTTCTATTTATATATACAGGATTATACATATTAAACATATTTATGTATAATATACACATGTAATATGATATATACTGATCTATCTCTCTCTCTATCTCTCTCTCTCTCTATATACAGTGTATAATAGTACCAACAGAGTTCTATAAGGGATCACATACATATATATATATATATACACATATATTTACATATATGGATCGGCTTATATACAGTTACAGACATATTCTAGCATATATATATGTACATATATACAATATGCCTTTGCAAGGGACAGCTGGTTGAAGTCATGCTCAAGACACAATGAAAGCATCATCATGTGGATCATGAATGCTTCTTGAAGGGGGATTGACCCCCTTCTCATAGAGATCAGCAACAGGATCAATATCAGCACAAAGCAGCCAACAATAGCCAGTATCCATTGGATATCTGGCAGTTCTTTCCGTCATCTATGATTTTCATGTCACATATCCAAGTTATTAACATGTCCACACCCATCACCTCACCCAACTGCAGCCATCCACGGCTCGGCACGTGAAAGCCACGGTGCCTCTGGCTCCGAAGCGGCGAAGAAAGCCGTCTTCCGCTGCGCGGTGATGGCTGTTCACAGCAGCTTCGCGAAGGCATAGACTGTGCACCTGATAAAGGCCAAGGAAACAGGTTACAAGAAGCAAGAGACACAGCGGTGCAGAATCGGACGTGGCGGAGCTGTTTGAGGACGTGGCGCAAGATGGCAGAGTGGGATCAACCTACGGATGAATTTGTTGGAAGGCTAGTTGCCTCGTACTGCCAGGATATGGTATGCACTGTGAAGCATGCCGAGCCACGTGGTAATTGACGGCTATTTTGCAGCAGCGCTTGCTGCAGAATTCCATTGTGTTTTGATGCTAATCGCATTGACTTTTGCTCTTCTTCTCCTTCCTCCGCACGACGACGATGACAACGACAACGATGACAACGACGATGACAGTGACACTCTGGACGAGTGTGAAGAGGTCGGTCTGAGGATATTCTCTAGAAATCTGAGTCCACATGGCCTTTCTGGCGCCTGTTCGACCCAGATGGGTGCAGCAGAAGGCCCAGCACGGCCCGAATCCAGATCCGACCTGCCGGCCGTGTGGGTTCCTCACCTCCCACCGTTGGACCGCCAGGTCGGGCCTCATGGTGCCCACCGGCGCGTGGTTCCTCAGCCGTGTGGCCGGCAGGTTTGAGGGGGACGCAGGGGTTGGAAACGGTGAAAATGGGGTCACGTGGGTTTGGGGTGGTGGTTTTTTGGTATTTCCGTTTCCTCCCCCTAAAATAAAAGGTTGAATCGGAGGGCTTAGTTATAAGTACGGCAGCGTCGTTCTTCTCTGGTCAAGTCGCACTGTCTAAAGGTATAGGGTGAATTTTCTACTTATTATACATATATTATATATATACATGCATTGCAATATAGGGAGGCCTCGTTTGGCATTCCAGATTCAATTTGTTCATGTGACCTTGAATATTGAGAGCTTCATGCGAAGCCAAAAAAACAATCAAGAGCAGTGTACATTCCGCCAAGCATGAGAAGGACGTTTGTGCAAGCTGCCAAGCATGGGAAGGACTTCAACATGTTTCGTTTCCGCCTCTCCAACCCAAAGACGAAGCTGAAGCAAACCTGAAGCTTCGAGGCTGCAGTTGCAGTCCCAGGATCCATTCTGGCCTTTTTGCTGTTTGTGCCCTCCGTGTTGAAAAACTCGTGTGGAAGGTCACTCCCTTTCTTCAAATTCTCCATTCCTTCCTCGGTGCATGTTGAGTTGATCCTGCCTCACCATTCTGTCCGGACAGCGAAGTAACTCCTCACTAGTTGGACACATTTGTGCTTCTTGGTTTTCTTCTGCTTTCGGGGCCACCAATCATCCAGATGCTGACGTCCAGCTGGCGACATTCCACTGGTACCACCTCTCTTGAGAGGGAACACATTTCGGAGGTCCATATCTGGAGGAGATGCTGTCCACAGACGTGGCCGTTCTCCACAAAAGTCCTGGTGATCTGAGGGTGTTGGGCTGGGATCATCTGTTGGCCACCGCGGATGTTGTTGACCACGACCCGATGTGTGGTTAGCCGCCGACCTTTGTTCACTCACACCCGGTCCATCGTCGTGCAACTGGTCCATCCGGTTCCGCCATTGTTTCCCACTCTACCTTTCCAGGCTGGTCCAGTGCTAGATTGGTCCAGTGCTTGCAGGCTGCGAGACGAGACTGGCGTGGGGTTGTCGATGGTTCTTGATTTGAGCTCCTCCTCGTTCAGCGATGGCGTTCTTCAGTTTGCTGCTTCCTTTTTCAGTACGTCAAACATGAATTCACACGTTCAAAAACGAGGTCCGCAGGAAGGTTGACGTCCTCGTCTTCGGTGAACGCAGCGTAGAAAACAGGCCGCCGAACCAGTCGCTGCGTCCAGCGTCGCTGGCCGTGGGATTCTGCCAATGTGAGATTTGGAGAACGCAGAGATGGCAGTGGAAGATGTGTGGAAAAAACACTGGCAGTGGCGGACGGATGGCGCGGTACGGATGGCTTTTCGTGAGAGAAGGCAGGGCACTGGGCAGTGGAAAGCACAGGGCCTTCACAGCAGGTTCCCTTGAAAGTCCCGTTGACCTGGCTCCACTTGGCTGCCATGGCCGAAGCGCGCGGCTTCGCCGGCCCAGTTTGGGGGGACCCCCGAATCGACGTTGGCGACTGGCCCTTGAAAGAACGCCAGCACGAAGGGTATAACATCACAGGCTTTCCAGGCAGCAGGTGGTCTGGGCTTGACCGAGTTGTTTCCACCCTGATAGGGGAAAAAAGAGGCTGGTCTGTGCTCAATGCCAGTTTTTTGCTAATGCAGGCAGGAGGTGTTTCTTTTGAGCAAGGTGGGGGGTCCTTCTTCGAAGCTTCGTCCTATTCGGGATCCGCTACAATCCCTCCTCAAAAAAAAGAACACAAAGAAAACCACACACACCCTGGCATGGAGCGCGGAAAAGGCGCCTCGTAGCGCTCATGAGTGAGCGCTCGTTTTCGTGAGACCAGGCGTCCACAGGCTTCACCTCTAAACTGAAACTCCGCTCCGCCAGATCTGGGGAACCAGAAACGACCTTCGGGGCTCCTCCGGGCATCGATCGGACGTGACGTGACGAGTCCGGGGCGAACGCAACACCGGTGCGGTCCGTCGGATGAACCGACACCTCGCGACACTCGGGTCCGGAGCGGGTTTTTCGCTCGTTTGGTTGGCTGGATGCATTGCCATGTCAGACATTCTCTGAGCCTTTTTGGTGCATTTTTGAGGGAACTTCAAGTTGTTAGAACCATGGGTCATGAAAGATGGTGACCCACCATTAGATGGCTTGATTGATCAATGAGAACTGGGCACGCATTTCAATTGCTGAAGTATCTCTATACACTTTGATGAATCAAGTCATTTGTCTATTTTCTGGATAGTTGAGATTTTCTCAGAAAATATGATCGGATAACCCTCTCCACCACATGCAACACTCGAAGAAGCCCCTTCAGGTATTATGGTTGTAGAGGAGGAGAAACATCTACCAGTACCAGGACCCCCTTCAGTGGAGAGGTCCATGGTGTCCATGGTGACATTTTTCGCACTGCAGTTCGATACTGGAAGACGGACCTGTCTAGTGCCCCCCCAGTAGGGACTCCTCAAGAAGAACACGAAGACTCGTTGAGGGCAACTGTGCCCCAAGCAACTGTACCACTGTAACCCCAAGACTTTGGAGATGAGAATGATAGATTCCCACCATCACTTGACCGCGATTCCGCCACCGGTCCCCTTGACCTTCCCCGCCTTCGCTCCGCCGCTGGTGGAGCGCCGCTGCCGCTGCGGAGCGCCGCGGGCGGACGACGCAGGTGGAGGGTACGGCGGGTTGGAGCGATGGTGGGCTTTTGGGGGCTCGCGGGGGTTACTAGAGTTCATGCGCTCCAACCATGGAAAAAGACGATGTGAAGAAAAAACCAAAGGCTACCCAGACCTGGAAGGACCAGTTCAAAGAAGCATCAGTTTGTCTTTTATTTGTATTTTCCGTGAGATCAATGGCAGGGTACTGCTGAACAAAAGACTGGAGATGGTGCAACAACTTCAGAGGATGACGGCTCAGTTTCATAAGAAAAATTGTACCTTAATTTATATACCTTAAAACTATTGTAACTTTTGTACATATAAATATATATATATATAATTTGTATATCTATCATCTATCAGATTGCCACAACCCTTTGTTGAAACTTGATGAAGCCCCTGCCTGAACACTATCATCCAACACTCATGCGAAGCAAATGAGGACATGGACATGGATGTATATAAATTGATCTTCCAAAGCCTCCTTGGGACTGGGTTCTTCCCAATGCTCTCGTGGGGGTCCGCCGCAGGTGGTCGGCTGCCTCTTTTGGCACCTGTGGTCGCCTCAATCCGTGACCGGCAGTCGTTTCAAGAGAGATCGACGCATATCAAGTCATCATGTATCGTCTTCAACCCCCCCAAAAAGCATTGCTCAGCGACCTGGGTTTGATGTCACAATCGGCCCTAGGGAACAGTAAGTGGTTTTGAAGACATCCCCAGTCATTGATTTGTTTCGATGGACGACCCTTATTCCCTGTCCTGGCACACTCATCAAACCAGCCCCGCGAGGTCCTCAGTTGGGGATTGCTCCGGTGTTTCTTGGAGCAACAAAGACACCTCCTTCCAACGGGACCGTGTCTTTGGGTCGTCCGCTCCTCGATCGACACGGTCTGCGCCCAGCGAGAACGGGTCTGCAAGAGAACGGTCTCTCCTCCACAATCTTAGTTAAGGGAATTGGGCACTCGCTGGTTTTGGCACCAAGCTCTTTTTTTTTCCGGAGTTTACACAATAGATGAATGAGGTAAACCACTTCACTTCACTGGTCATGGCACTCACTTCCCTTACTTTTGGAGACGACCCCGAAGGATCGGGTGCTCTTGTTTCGCAGCGCGACCGCGTCCGCGTCCGCCTCCGTGCGACATGGGAAGTTTCGCCGGTCGAAGTGGAAAAAGACGACGTGGAACAGAAGTCCCCACGAGTCGATTGGGCAGGTGGCGAAGTTTTTGGGCAGTATATATATAAGTTTGATATGTTTTTGTTTCCCCCATTTTCCAACACTTTGAGACTCTGGCCGGAAGTGGGAAGCGTCAAGTCGGCCATCGGCCACAGTGAAAGGGTGCCTTTGCGGTGATCGCTGTAGGTGGCCGACGTTTCCTTTGCCTCCGTTGCCAGCAGAGGGGGTTTCTGAACGAGGCCAGCGACGAAAGTCTCTTCGGCACTGCAAGAGTTCGGGTGTCTGGTCAAAGATCCGATGCTGACAGGCAGCATGTATGGTAAGACCTAGACCTAGAAGTGTTCACAATCATGTCACCATGTTCTAGATCTGGGTTTGTCCCAGTACCTGCAACTGTCGGTAAACAAATTTAACGAATTATAGAGAAAGGCCTGCAACTTGACCAGCATCATCCACTGTTACTGGTAATGGATATAATATAATATACATATGTACCCAATCTAGATCCTAGGTGGCTTCATTTTGGGGAGAACCCGCAGCGTGGGGCTCGCGGAGTAGATCTCGGCCGACGCCCATCCCCGCCGACGCCCATCAATGGCCATGGTCGGCCCTCGTGCCTTGCCCTGCCTAACGGCGCTCCTCCTGGCCGGCTGTGCGGCTTGGCTGATGTCTTGCCAGGAAAATCGAGCAATGTATGGGATCGATGCCTCCCACACGTTTTTGGATTTTTCCGAACAGACATCCATTCACTGCCGGTGTTGTTCCCATTCACTGCCGCCAATCTTCCGAACTCGCACTCAGACTCTGTCAATCTTCCGGTTCTTCTTCCTCTGCCGCAGGCCTTTAGCCTGCTGTCGCCCGCCCGGACCGTGCGCGCCACCGTGACCTCGGCCGGACCACGCGGGGGCGCGGCACCTGCGGGGGTGACTGGGAGTGGCTCCAGCAGCGCCAGTTTGGCCAGCGCGGCCGTGTTGCTGTGCGGAGCCGCCAGCCTGGCCAGACGGAGGGACCAGGTGGTATGACGCTGGGCCAAAATGGAAGGTTTGGACGGAGAGACTGCGTGTTTGAGCACTGGCTTGAGGTTCCGTTCCCGGTCTTCCACCAAAAGGACATGAGGTTGAGAAGCAGTTTGATCAAAGAGAGGGTACTTTGTAGGGCTCCAATAAGGGGAAAGATGCACAAGGGATTTCTTCATGTGGACACCGTGTTTGGCGAAGCTAGATAAACGGACGCACCTGGGCTGGTGGACCAAAAATCGCCTGGGCTGGTGGCCGAACCATCTTCCCTATGCCGCGGTCTTGACCAATCAACACCACCACTGGACACTTGGACGCTCCCCACACACCTGCGCTGCTGGACGCCACGCCACCGAGCGGTGCGCCCTGCTCGAGCGTCCAAGGCCGCGCCGGTAAGCAATATTGGGAAGGCGAGTGGATCTGCGCCGATTGCGGATATATTTACAATGAGTGCCTGGGCGAGACAGCCGGGGGCACCGTTGGGAGTTCCCCAATCTGGGTGGCGCTTCTTTTTTGTGTTCGGGAGAGGGTTTTTGGAACACATCGAGTGAGTTTACCTCATGGTCCTCATTCATGGTCCTCATGGTTGCTGCACTGGAGCTCTTTTGCACCGCAGCCATCGGTTTTTACATCGAGGACCGGAGTGTCGTAACCACCAAGCTGGGTGGTGCACCAAGCTGAGACAAGGCTTGGACGGAAGAACATGGAACCAAAATAAACAAACATCAGAGTTTGCGACCAAAATTCTGTGTGTTTCATTGCGTTTCTTCCCACAGTCTTGCGCTTCCAAAACGGCTGGAATCGCCGTGTCTTGCGGCCGGGCCGGGGCCCCTCATCCCCGGCCGTCACGCCGAAACGCTGTAACGCCACGGCCGTCCCGCGCGGCGGAGGCGTGCCTTCGGCATGAAGTTCGAGGACCTTCGGCGTGGCGCTGCGGCGCTGTGGCGGTCGGTGGGGCGCCAAACCAGCGCTGTGGAGCACTTCGTTCGGGGGGGTGTGGGTTATTTGGGGCGCTGAACGTCCGGGTGCGAAGGATTCTTCCACGGCGCCTGCCTCCAGGCTCCTTTTGGTTCGGTTCTAAGATTTGCTAAGAAGTGAAGCTCCCGGAACCGCGGAGGGAACAGCTACACCAGTTGACATCCTCTTTGGGAAACCTTTTCAACCATGTCCAGCCTTTTTGGGGCGCCGTTTCTGGTGCCGTTGTTGTTGTTGTTGTTCTTTTAATTTTTGTTTTATTTATTTATTTTTTTTATAATCTTCCTTTTTCCGAGCAGACACACCTCGCCTCCTTCCCGTCTCCGCGGGGGGCAGTGGCGGCGAGGACCTGGGTCAGGGCTTCAAGTGCCCTCAGTGCGCCGCGCCGCGCCGGCGTTTCGCGCGGAAGCTGGGCGACAAGATCGGCACGACGCTGGATGGTGACCTGGACGGAAGAGTGGGGGGTTCCCGAAAGCGAGTGGGACGGATGTGATGACGGGCACCCGGCGTCCTTTTCTGGGAGGTGGGGGATGTTGGGGGTTTACATGAAAGGATCAGAAGGACATCGAGCAACGGTATCATACATCGAATTGGCCAATCAATCCTTTCAACCTTTTGCCCAAAGGTTGAGCCTAGTTGGCAGGATGTCCTAGGCATGTTGGATGCTTTTCCAGGACCATCCAAAATGGGTGGAGCATTTCCAACAAGCAGGATTCTGCTGGTCGGTCGGTTTGGTCTTTTTCTCGTTTTTGTCTGAAGGCCGAAACGGACCGAAAACCGAGACCGGCGGTGTTCGGCGGTTTGAGATGCTCAGGCGGCGATACACCCATCCTGATTTTCACCGCCGTTTGCTTGCTGATCGTCTTGGCCATCGCCTATTATAGCCTCCAGTAGCATGCGGTTAGTCACCTGACGCCCCGACCGGGAGAACGATGTCCAAGCAGAAATAGAACGGTGCGGAAGGAGGAAGGGTGCGGATCTGTGGTGGGCCACATGGTCACATGCCATACAGGACCTTTTGAAGACTCAGCACATGAGACGAACACAACCTGCTGTCAGAGTCTCATTCCTTTACAGAACTTGCACCCTGCTGATTCCTTGGAGCCAGTCTTGGGTGGTGTGCAATTTTGGTACAAACCATTGTGCTGTCAAAACATTGCAGAGAACATGGCTTTAACATGCGTAAACTATATGATATGCCAGACCTCTTAAGTGAGCAAGATTTCAAGCGATTCATTTTCATTTTCCCCCACCGACAAGCTATACAGCTGAGCTGTGTCATTTTGGAATCCCCCTAGAATAGCATAACCCAAAAACCTATGAACCCTGAATATCTCTTGAAGTGATACTGAATATCTATCACGCGTGTCGTGAATCTCGAAAACCCCCTTGGAGTGGTTTTTCCGACGAACATCACCCCCCGTCCCGCTGCCCCAGGGGAGAGGCGCTGCCGAGAGCGGGGCGGAGCAACGGAGTAATTCGCCTATACCGCGCGGAGTGCCGTGCGTTCGTGCGGAGTGCGGTGCGGTGTGAGGATGGAGCGAAAGAGGATGGACTGCAGGGTGGGCATCTTTGTGATCAAGAGCTTGGGACGAACATTCTTTTTCTTCCCACAACTGGAACCAGGAGGACTTTCGCAGGAACCAGGGGTCGGCTGGCTTGAAGCTCTCCAACATCCCATGCAGCTTCCTGTCATGCTCAGGTCGGGTGCAGGATCGATCTAGCTATCATGCTCTCTTCCTGTCTTGCTGGTGCGATGTTGGACGCAACTGACAGGAATCTGATCTCAAACTTCTCGTTCCGACTTCCCTCCACCTCTAGCCGTCTTCTCTTCCAACTGACAGGAGTCGACTTCTCAACTTTCGGTGTTTGAGGGGACTTTTCTCCACCGGCGACGTGCAAGGCCGAAAAAGCCCCAGCCGGATGAGGGGGATGAGGTACCTCCAACCTGGAAGGAATCCAATGGGGTGAGGAATCCGGGGTGAAGATCTCCCCTCGTCGAGGCAGGACTCGAACCAAAAACTTGGTTTGGCGGCCGGGTGGGGGTCGCGGAGAACTGAGCGGCCAGGTGGTTGGATTTGGATCGCCGCCAGAGTTGGAAGACCAATCACTTGGAAGTTGAACCCGGTACCTGGAGTGTTGACGGACTTCTTCTTTGCCTTGGTCGGCCGAGGAGGCTGAGCTTTGATCAAGCAATGGATGGCACAAAAAAATACCCTTAGGTGTTTTACACTCAGATTTTCAGGCAGAGTTTTTTTCACATGGTTTGACCGCATGGTTGCATGGTCGACCGCATCTTTTTCGCATGGTCCATTTCCACCCTCGACATGACAAGTCACAGGTCGGCAGTCACGGGAAAAGCTTCCCCCAACAACCAGCGAAGCTGTTCGTGCATGAAGCTGTTCGCTCCATTTGGAGTGAACCTGGTGGGCCCCGGCTGAAGATCCACTGCAGTCCTGTTTCACCCACTCAAGCCATTGACATTTTCCATCGAAAGAACCCCAATCCACTGCGCCTCACGTGTGGGCTGCCGCCTGGCGGAAGAAGCCGCGTGGAAGAACAGCGCCTGCCAGGCCGGGCGGGGTGGGGTCACAGATTCCATCATCATCCTCACGGTGGCAGAGACCAGGACCCTCCTGTCGGGGTGTCCATTTATAGCCCCTTAGAAGGGGTGTCCATTAACCACCCCGACTGGGGATATATACCCTAGAAGTCCAAAGACTATGACCGGCTGAAGTAAAGTTCCCTTTCAGGTTCCGTAAAGACCATTCTTTTTATCGTCTTTGACTCCCAGGGCCCAGGGTGTATACATTTTAAATAGATTTTGATAGGATCGATAGGATTTGACCGTGGGGATTGGACAGCGCACCTAATCCATCCATATTATACTCCTTCGTGGGGTCCGAAGTCCTGAACCTCGCTGGCATCCGACATGGTTCGAGCGGGATCGAACACGTGATCGACCGGGATGCGCCCAAACGGTCGGCACGAGCGTCAAGAAGAGGGGAGCGCCCAAAGGTAGGCAGCTCAACACCGGAGACAGGAGAAGAGCTTGAAGACCCCAGTGTCCCCCTCCAAACAGGTGCAGAGAACTCCCACGACCGGCTCTCGACCCTCGAACCGGACTCTCCCCCACCAAACCCACCGACCGGCCCCCTGATGCGCGCGGAGCGTCGGTCGCGGCGCCAGGTCGACCCGCCATGGTGCGGCCTAATACCGAGCAAAAGCTCGACATGGCCGCGGGGGGAAGCACCAGGGCCGGGCGAGGGATCGGTGCCGAAGCGCCAAGAAAGGTCCAGCCCTTTGAAGGAAAACATTTTTTTGGGGGGGGGCGTGCCCCATTCACCCACTTTGGAGAGAGCTAAGGATCTACACTGTAGCGTCATTATTTGGGCTCTGGGGCGGCTTTTCGGCCTTTTTCGGAAGGCGCTGGATGAGTTGGTGAAGTCGGACGAGGCGCCGGGGAAGTGGAGGAGTCGAACGAGAGCGGCTGAAGAAATCGACCGGGACACCCGTTCCGTGGTGCGACTTCCAACCACTATTAAATCAATAGGCTTTACCGAACCAACTAAGGATTTTACGCTACAAAAACCAGCTCAACCATTTTTTTAATGGTCTTGGAAGTCTAGGGAATTGACACCCGTTCCGTGGTGCTAGGAGATTCCTTTTTCAATCCTTTTCAACCTATCCGAATCTAGCCACCCGAAATGGAGGGAAACACCGGAATAGAGAGACAGCAGTTCGTAGATAGCACCAAGACCGGATTGGAACGTTCTTTTTTTGGGGCACTTTCTGGTGGAGAATCCCGGCCCGTGTGTCAACCGGAGGGTCTTTGAGTCGGCCCGGAATGGTTGTCGGACCTTTCGAGTTTCCTCGCACCGGGTGGATGGCTCACCATGACTCACCAGACGTACGGACGGACCCAAAGAGTTCCAGAAGCCTGAGACGTCCGGATGTTTTCCTTCTGTTTCTGGGGAGTCTGTACAGTATTGATCGCATGTATCGCTGTGGTGTCATGGTCTTGTTCAGTTGGTCCCTTGACATGACGGTCGACCACCTCACACCCGCGCGAGCCGCACCCGAACGGCCCAGCCCCATCGTCGGAGCCGGCCCCAAACAGCCCGGGGAACCCAGGGCACCGGCGTGGAAGTGGGGAAAGACGGGGGGAGACCGAGAGAGAGGGTGCTTGGAAGGGAGGTTTGGATGGGGTTTGTAAGAGGCTCAAGAAGGTGACCTGAAGGAGTGCAGCTTCCCGAACATCGCCCGGATTTATCGCGTCAGACCGCTGCATCCGATGCTTTGAGGAACACACCTTCACTTCACCGGAAGGATAACGACCGCAGGTCTTTTTAGTTCAGGCCTTCCAAAAACACCCCAAGACACTCATTTGGACGCTCCCTCCACACGCCTCCCGCTTCACCACGCTTCGTGGTGCAGACGCCTCGTCCTCCGAGGCGAAGCTGTCGCGGAGCGACGGGCCCTATGCCGGTGACCTGAGCCGGTGACGGGTGCGAGCGGGTGCGGGAGGAGCCCAAGGAGGTACGAGAGCGTGGGAGGAACGCCCCAAGGAGGGATGGGGGGAGGATGGGGGCAGATGAAGATGGGGAGATGGGGGCGGAGCGAGCCCTCGAACTGGAGAATGTATGAGACTCTTGCAGTTGGCCACTCGAGTTCTTTGGCAACGCGGGGAACATTCTTTCTACTTTAAACGCTTACTGATGCTTACGGTAAATGGCTGATCATGTAAGTTCAGGTGTTCAAACACAAGATTGAAAACAGGTTGAATCTTTTTTGAATCATACGTACGTTGAATCAACATACTACATCATACTACCAAGCGTTTTGCCGTGGTCAGGCTGCAGATTCGTGACGTTGTCTTCATTGTTGTTCTCTTCCTTTGATCCAAAGCTGCTTGGTCCCAGCCAGCGAAGAAACGGCATCACAACTTGGAGGAATTGAAGACATACGGAGGCAATTTGGCATCTTCTCAAGCTGCTTTCTGTGTTTGTTGCACATTGGCAGCTCCTTGTGGCCGTGCTTGGATGCACATGTGTTACACCCATGAGACCATCCAAACCGGTTTGAGACACCGGTTCGGGGGTGGTGTTTCCCCATTCTGATTCAACCACCAGCTGGAACAGGATCCCAGTTTTGCCCAGACCGGTTCCGACCGGTGCAGACCCGGCGCGCCGCCGCGCGCGGAGCCATGGCCGCGTCGGCGCCGGAAGACGCGGAGCCCGCGGAGCCCGCGGAGCCCGCGGAGCCCGCGGAGCCCGCGGAGCCCGCGGAGCCCGCGGAGCCCGCGGAGCCGCCCGCCGCGCCGGCTGAGCCGGAGCCGACGACGCTGACCATCCGCGTGACGGGCATCGATGGAGAAGGCTGCACGGCCTCTTGGACGCGGAGCGTTGGTGGAGCGCGAGCGTGGTGTGGACAGATCCGGCTCGGACCGCGTGGGAGCAACGATAGGACCCAAGCTGGGTCTGACTGGTCCTGAAAAAGGCAAAACCACATTCGTGAAATCAGGTCCTCAGCTCCCCTAGAAAATTCATCTTTGACTCCCAGATTTCTGGAAGAGGAAGGATGAGTGATGAGCAACCACACTATGATCGTCATGTCCTCCGTGCCCTTTTTCGTGTTTTTGAGGGAGAGGCGGGGCGAGGGAGTCCTCGAGTGAAGACGAGGACCCGGCCAAAGGAGGGGACGTTGCCACCCAGCCGTACAAAAAGGACATGGCATGACATGACACTGTTGTATTTCCCCCTTGCTTCCTGGGTTTTTGTTGGGGGCTGCTGGGGGGGGGGGCTTGCATCAGGCATAAGCTGCAGCAGACCCCTGATCAAGCTTGAGGTCCGAGGCATTTTTCTCAGATCATCATCTCCGCAAACCTTTGAACTTTGATCATCAACGCGTCAAACAAAGACAACATATTTTAATCAGTTTTCTCATTAAAGTCCGCAGAAGTCCTCGTAGCAACATGTATTTTATAACAATACATAACATCTAGATTCCAGTAGTTCCATGTCTGGGTGCCAATTTCAGGATAGGGGTGTGCCTGTCACATCCACTCACTGGATGTGACTAAAACTCTCCCAATTTCATGCAGGATTTCCGGCCACCCCTTTTTCACCCCGAAGCCACGAAGCGTGCGCTGCAAGCGTGAGGAACATTTTGAGCACCCGCCCCAGGCCCCAAGCGCCCGCTTTTTTCATGTTCATAAAGAGCAAACAGCGAAGTTGGCCCTCCAAGGCCTTTCCACCAGAATCCACCTACCAAACCAATCCAAACCTAGAAGCGATGGCCTCCGCCCTAGAAGCGATGGCTCCACCGTAGAAGCGATTGCCTCCACCGTAGAAGCGATAGCCTCCACCCTTTAGTGGCGATGGCCTCTACCCTAGAAGCGATGGCCTCCACCGTAGAAGCGATGGCCGGCCTCCAACCTAAGAGCAATGGCCTCCAAACCAAGAAGCACCCACCTACGCCCCATTTGCTTCCAAAAACCAAATTTCACTCAGGTGACCTGCGAGGATACGCTGCTGGGCCGCGAGCTGCGCAAGCGCGTGAGCGCCATGCTGCCGCCCAAGCCGGGCGGGGCGGTGCAGCTGCAGTTTGGGCCACAGCCCTTGGAGATGGAGAGCGGCCTGGGAGGGCGGCTGATGGGGAATGCGTGTGTTTTGAATGCCAGAAATGCTGGAAACACGACCTCCATCGAAGGGCACACGAACAAGCCCAGACATTGAGAGCCACACCGCTTCCCGGGTTTGCTGTCAGACTTCATGCTAACCTCGAGGCCAGCCCACAAGTGGTCCCTGGCCAGATCCATTAACAGTATACATTGCTTCCCGGCATTTTTCTTCAGCATCTCAGGGTTCCCTGCGGCCACTTGTGCCCCTGGCACGATGCCACTCAACCCTGCAAAGAAGGCTCTATATGAGTGGTCACTGCACGATTTCTGGCCCTACCTGTTGACCAAGTAAGAAATAATGGGAAACGCAATCACGAGAGTGCTCTGATAGTGTTTGATCCATTTCTGTTCAACGAAACTGTTGGTGTGGGACCTCAAACACAAGCTGAATGTCATGCCAAATTTGTCTAAAGTTTTGTTTCGGACCGTGTTCATCTTCCATGATATAGGTATGTGGCGGGGCGAGGGGATTTTGGGTCTACTATTGTCCATGATGTTTGTTGTGATGCCGATCATTCTCTGTGCCTTTCTTCTTCTTCACGCCAGACTCGTTGTGGTCACTCCATTGTCCCGGTTTTTTGCGGTGTCCCTTTGCGGAAAGCGGAAAGAACACCCTTTTGGGTTAGGTTGGTTGACACCTCTAGCCTCTAAACATCTCTAAACCACTGAAGGTTAATAAGCCCATAGCAGGGGTGTTTTTTTCACAGGCTGACCTGGTCATGTCGCGCGTGGTTCCGATCGATCATCCACCTGCACCTGGCCCCGATGGAGGAGACGACCTTGAAAAATCAAGGATTTTCGCAGGAGACCAACTTGTCCTATGTGTACCTCGGCTTCGACTTCTTTCCTTGCCGGGTCACGGGCGAAGAAGGCCAAGTTGTCCCAACAAACAGATCGTTCATCATCATGATCCAGGGACCTGTCCTTGTTGGTTGGCTCATCCACAAAGGTCTCAAGAGAACACTGATGGGGGTATAAGACTTGAGTTGGGTATTGTCTTGCACATGGGAAAGTACATATCATTTCCCACCGTTTCTCGGTGGGTGTGTCAGGAAAACCCGTGTCTGGTCTCTGTGAAGGAAATTTAAGAAGAAACCTGGCTTGGAGCTGCCTCATGCAGAAGGATCAGAAGGGTTGACAATAGGATCGCCAAATGATTTCGATGGTGGGTATACTATGGTATACTATATACAGCTGTCATCAATAAATTCCGAGAGTCTCTCTTGCAAGTCGGACATTTGCACCCCAAACGACTGGCGACTGGCTCAAAAAGGCTTCTTCGGAACCAACCGGTCTACGCAAAAAGCGGCGGCGGCTTCCACCTCACCCACATATACCTCGTTTCAGTGTTCCTCTGGCACCTTTTTCCCTGTGGCCCGGGCCGGTGAGGTATGTCCCTGTGAGCATGCTCGACGCCTGGCGCTTCTTCCGCTGCGACATCGACGAGGAGGAAGACGCCACCCCTGAGGCCGCGCTGCGACCGACGGAGCGCGAGGTTCACGGTGAAACGGTTCACCGTCGCTGGGGGTCCGGCGAGGTTCGAAGAAGTCGTGTTCCCTGGTGTGGTGCCCTATCCCGTCGGCCTGGCGGTCATAACCCGCGCCTACCAGCGTCCTCCCTGGCACGACCAACAGCGGTCGTCTTGTCTCTTGATGGTCAAAAAAGGCATCATGCCCGGATGGTACATTTCTCGATTTTCGCGAACTAGCAGTTGGAACTCCTGGGTACATCAACAATCAGACAGTCCTGCTCAACAAGGGCCCCACCCAAATCAGCCATGTTGACTATGTTGCAAGGTGGGTTGGTGATCGAAGAGAGACCATCGATGATTGACTTGATTAGTTATTTGTTGACTTCCTCACACCTGGAGACAGAACTTGAAAAATGTCGTTCGCAGCACGCACAAACATCAACAACATGTGCACCACTCTCGGCCTAATCCTACCAGTCCCAGACGCATAGCTTTTGGGACTGTTTCTTTTTCTCTCTTTGCTCCCCAGCCCTGCGCACACTTGCAGAGGTCCTACGAAAAGCCCTGCGATCCTTGCAGGCGATCGGCACCGGCGGACGATCTGGGCCCGATGGGTCGGGCACATGGGAAGCACGGCATCAGAAGCATCAGACAGAACGAGTTGGGGGGAAGAACGGCTGAACACTGAATAAAACCATTAACTTAATACGGGTTCTGAAAAACAACAGGTGAAAAGGCAGGATCTTTCGACGACCAACATCAGCCATGCGGGTGTCTTTTTGCACTTCTTGTCAGATTTTGCCGGGCACCCGCACGGTGCGAGTGCCATACCTGAATTGTTTGGTGATCTTCGAGAGGTGGGGGCTGGCCCAGAAGGTGCAACAGTGGGCGTGCGCGAGAGGTTGCAGCGACTCCAACATCCCTAGTTTCCATTTAAGATCCATGAAGTATATGATAAAACCCAATAAAACACGTGTGTGCGTCTTCTATTTTTCGTTCCTTCTTTTCATCCCATGTGACCTTTCCAAACCAGGCCGGGTGTTTGGCCCCGCCCGCAGGTGGCCTCCGAGGGCGCCCAGCGGGTGGTCTCCAGCGGCCTGGGCTGCCGCCGGAAGCAGCTGCCGGCGAACGTGCGGCAGCTGGTGCTGGGGAACGAGGTCACGAAGGAGTTGGCCCCTTGGAACGCGAGCGAGCGGACGGACGAAGGGTTGTTGTTTGGTGTATGTTTTTTTCCGATTGGTCCGGGGAGAACTACCTGACTTGTTTCGCTGAAAAGAACACATCCAAACAAACACCAGCTACTGTTTTCCTCACATCTCCTGTGGTGCAGGATTTTCTTGCATCAGCAGTGGGATACAGGAGAGTGACCCAGAGATTTCGACACCTACAGTAGTTGTGTATATGGCAAAAGGGCCTCAGAGGTAGTTTATATAGACAGATTCCAGCCATACAATGGTCTATGAACAAACCTTTTTACTGTATTCTCCCTTTCGGTACCCTTGCGCGCTTCGGGTTCCCCCAAGCCCACTTCCATGATGATTCCAACGAGATCTAGCCAATTCCAACGAAAGAAGGTTCTATCTCTTAGAGAGCTGCGCTGCGGGGTCCAGAAACACGCCGCAGCTATTCTTCCTGGCCGCTGCGCCCAGGAAGAGAGTTGGACTTTGCCCAACAACTTAGAAGCCCTGAAGATGGGCATTGCCTTTGGTGGAGGTCTTCCACAGAACTTCCAATGGCCACCACGGCTTCTTGTCACCATTGCTTTTTGTGAACCCCCCCAAGCGATGTGGTGGGTGTTCATCGAAGCATTTGGTGTTCTCGAGGCGCCAGGAAGCCACAGAGCGGTTTGTTGGTTACTGGTGGTTGATAGAGGTGTCTTTTTGACATGGGCCGGGCTTGTTGTTTTCTTTGCGAGTTGCTTGGATGGTTTGTGGAAGTTTGCGAGTGAGACACCATTGGATCCAAGCTTGAAACAACCCACGAACCTCAGGAGTCATATCTGACTTATCCTGACCCTCCCCATTTGAGAGCTACCAGTGTCTATTTTCGTGGTTTCTGGTTTCTAGCGATTCACATCATGTGTAATGTGTATATATCTGACTTATCCCGTGCTCCCCAGTCCGAGGCTCCTGCACCTGACGCTGGGCATGGGACACTTCGATCTGCACCGGGCGCCGCTCCCGGAGACGTTGCAGACCTTGACGCTGGGGGCACGCTTCGACGCGCCTTTGCGGCCGAACGCGCTGCCAGGACCGGGAAACGTGGGTGGTTCTTTCGGACCGGGGGAAATGGGTGGGTCGTATGGTATAACGACGTTGGATAGATGGTGGGACGCATGCAGCCGATGATGCCCAACTGGCCATCCCATTGGTTTTTTGGGTGGGACACGTGGAGACTTTCGATTCGTTCATGTGCGTTTCTACCGCTTTTCGTCGCTGGTCTGGTTGCGGTGTTTGTCTGGGTGACTTCGATTCCTTCAAACCTCCGTCCTTCCTGCGGGCTGCTGGTGGGCGCAGGGCGCCCGTCGGGTTCGTATGGTCCACGAGACATTGGAGTTGGAAACCGGATGACCGAATGAATGACCGAACGAGGCTCCAACTTGGTGTTGCCACCGGGTCATTCCATGGGCCGCAAAAATGGGACCTTCGGTCCCTGGATGTCCTTGGTACATTTTTGCAGAACATGTGGGCATTCGGCATTCATTATGTACTTGTATCATCTTGTATCCGATGCATTCGGTTGTTTTGATTGCATGCCGTGGCTGCCAGGTTCATTGAAAAGCATCACCTTTGGCGCCGACTTTGATCAGCCCTTAGATGGAGTCATCTTGCCCAGCGGTTTGGAGACCTTGACCTTTGGTGTTTCCTTCAACCAGAGCTTGGTGCAGGTGAGGCCTGGGTGGGTTGGCAAGGTGGTCGAAGGTGGCTCAAAGAGCCTGTCCTGATTGCAGACAGATTGACCACCCAGACAGACCACCAGATTGCTGTTGAGCACAGATCTGTTCATGGATCATCATGGATCCATGGTACCCAGCCGCTGGTGCTGTGTCAAGGAAGTTACCACCGGGTGTTTTTTTTATGCTTTCAACTCGACCGCCGGGTTCCGAGACTCGACCACCAGTGGGAACCGGCTTAGCCGGTGGAACGGGGAGACCGGTGCGCCGGTGCATGGCGGTTTTGGTTCTTCGACTCCACGCGCCCGACCCGGGTCGGAGTTCCGGGTCGGGACGCTCGGACGTCCTGGGAGAAACGGCAGGAATTGACGAAACCCAACGAGGTCGGGCGGAGTCGGAGACGCCTGGGAGGTGTCTCTTAACGTGAAGAAGCGGCACCCGGGTGGGGCGGGAAAGAACGGCTGTGTGTTCACAGCCAGCGCGGTTTTTCCGGCACCCGAACAGATGGAGAGCCGGACAAGACGACTGCTCAGAAAGATGGACCTTCCACATTGATTGACAGGGAAGATGTTGAGCTTGTTGAACTGGATTATGGACCTGTACGGGAAATGACACAAATCTCTTATACAGATGACAGACAACACGGTCCCCCTCTCCAAGTTTCATATACCATTTATGGTGCCTCCAGAGTCGGGGCTGTTGTGGGGCACTGTGACTTTCACTCTCCACACCCCAGACGACATGTACACTTCTACACCTATCTCCGCTGCTACTGTGACCCTCTTCGAGGTGAAGCTGCCGATTGCTCTTCGGGTCCTCCACTTTGGGGATGAGTACAACCAGAGGTTGGACGACGTGATGTGGCCGCCGTGCATGGAAGCCTTGAGCTTGGGCGCCCGATTCTACTGGACGCTTGGAGCACACCTCGGCTCATGGCTGGGCTGGCGTGTTCGATTTTGTGTCTCCAAAAGCGCCTGCAGCATTCGGACGCGAGGCCACTAGCATTTGGTGGACGTTTCGATTCTGTGGTACCAATACCACCGGCCTTGTTCTTGGGGAGGAATACACATTTCTTCGCCTTGGCAAGTGCTTCTGAAGAACGGTGGAACTGCGTCACAGGTGAGAACGCTCGAAGTGGACGGTCGATGGAAGATGTGAAGGTCCAGCAAAAGGGGAAGCATGTGCAATAGATGCAATAGTTTTCATTCTAGATATTCAAGAATGGGTGTGTATTTTTTGATGGGAGAACCCCAACCAAGGTCTATTTTTCCTTCTTTCAGGGGGGTCGGAACGCCTGGGAGGTGCTACACACACACCTTCCATAACAGCATGGTCGGGTACTGCTCTGGGGTTGCCACCAGCGGGTTGCCACCAGCGGTCACGACCCAACATCCCGAGGGATTTGGATGGCGTTCTGCCGCCAAGCCTGCGGCGCCTGGTGGTGAATGAGCACTACAACGAGGCTCTCTGCCTCCAGGAGAAAGTGGAGGGAGAAAGTTGATCATCAGCTTATCAACCATTCATACCAAGACCTTCTATACCAGGACCTTCTACTATATATGTCAAAAGAACGTGGCCATGAGAACCACTCACATACCTTCCTTTTTGACAGATGGCGTGAGCCCATCTCCTCAGAGGGTCTCAGGAGCCCTGGATCCTAAGAGGTGGTTACCAGCGAGCAGGATTTCCGCTTGCGGGCCCTCCCATCTGCGCGATGTGCGAGGTGCATCTGATGAGTTGTGGGTCCACTGGTTTCAGAGTCGATTGGCACAAGTTGCCCCAAGTTCGGTGGTTCAGGCTGGAGCCCCCCATTCTATCGAAGATCCACAGGGGTGCCGGTGCCATCAAACCTTGGAAACCGCAAGTTTGGCCTCTTATCTTTTGGTCGATGACCACTTCTATGCCGTGGTCGCCGCCAGCGAATCTGGGCATCGGATTTGAGTGGATTAGGCTCTCTTCTTTCTTGAAACCGACTGGTCTGATTCTGAGGCGAGGACCCCTTTGGACCCTTTCCGACTGGGGGACCGCCGTGTTTCGGCGCCGAGCCAACACGACGCGGCCAGGCGGTGGCGCTGAAAAGCATCTCAGGTTTGAGCCTGGATCCTCGGCAGTTCGCCCGGCTCCGGTGCAGGTGACAGTCCCGGCTTCATCGCGCTGGGCATCGATTCTTTTTTTGGGACTGAACAACCCACGAACACCGGGTGTGTCACATGCTTGGTTGCTTGGTCGAACTTTCCAAGCCCAGAGGCTTGGCCTTTTCTCGCTGGTCCAGCGTACCCGAGGAGAGCTTGACCTTCATGCGTTCCAGCCAAGTTCTAGGGGCCGTGCCCACGGCCAACTTGCTTGGCATCATCCTAGGACACGGCTGGGGGGATTGGCCATGCTGGACGAGTGCTAAATACCACCCTTTCAAAGTTTGAGGATGAGCGTCAACATCCTATGACCGTCGTCAGCTGTTTGGGGTGGCATTCCACGTGCCGCTTGCAGGACACATGTGGCCCAAGAACCTCAAAAGCCTCACGTTTGGCCCTGAGATCAGCAGGGACTTGCAGGAGACCTGTCTCAAGAGCTCGGCGATGGGACATCCTCTTTGCTGAGAGGTCTTTTTTCCACTGGGAGGTCTCATTGGACATCAATTTTTCCTGGGAGCATCAGCACAAGAAGCGGGGAGTGCACCCTGCTGTGCTCGTTAGCTTTCGGAGCTGCTTCTCCTTGTGGTACGAGAGCTGCTTCTCGATCAACTCCGAACATGACCGGAGAGTGAGTGTCAATCTCAATGAACCACTGCATTTGGGTGTGGGTTCATTGTATTTCAATAGGGAGACCACCAACCAATAGGTTTGGTCTATTTTCTTTCTTCCAGTCTTGGTCTGTTAATACTCACCCATCTTTGAGTACGATCCAAATTCTGTCCAAAAATCCTCCAGAGTCTTCTGGTGAGTCCGTTGCTCTAGTTTACTCAGGCGAGCTGCGGTTCAGGTAAACCGATTCAGGCAACCTGGCTGCCGAGACCACCAAAAGGGCAGTGTCCAAAGTGAACCGCTTTGCGTAGACAAAGCAATCCGAATTGATTTGCACAGCACCTCCTCTATTGGTCCTTTATCTTGGGTGCCTCATTCTTTCTCTGATGCATCACCTCATGGATTGATGTTGCAAAAAGCCAGTCCTCGGAGGGCTCCGGAGGTTTTTGGGGTTCCCTCCTGCCGCAGCGGCGGTCGGTCAAAGCAACGTCGCCCAAAGGACACGCAGCTGTTCCGTCGGAAACTCCTGAGGACACGCAGCTGCCAGAAACGCTGGAGCATCTGACCTTGGGCCAATCCTTTGATGAGAGCTTAGAGGGTGTGGACTGGCCCAAGAAGCTGAAGAGCCCCGGGCGGCGCCGAAAGATTTTTTCCTTTTCGACGCATTCCGTCGCATGCGCTTGAGCCGCAACCGTGCGACCCGACCAAAACGAGGTGACCTGAAGTTCGGAAGACCCTTTCCTTTGGTGGTGCCCAAAATCGACCACATGGACCATACAGTATAGGGAAGAGGTGGATGTTTTGTCTTGTATTTTTTTTTTCGTCCCTGTGAAGTGAAGATCCTTCAAAAGTCTGAACTCCGGGCCCAGATTGCTGGCGATTGCTGGCGATCTGGGTCGATTCCAAGATGTTTTCAGGTGTTTCTTCGTTGGTGTTATTTCTTCTTTGGTCCTAGGCCGGCCAGGCCATTCCCAGGCCTCCAAAGACCGCTGTCTCATCTCTCAGGAGCTTGAGGTTTGGGCACAAGTTCAACCAGAGCCTCCTGGAGACGACCTTACCAGAGGAGCTTCAGGCGCACCCGCCCCCAGCGGTTCCGGTGGATCGCGAGCGCGGGCTCCACCGAGTCCGTCCGGGAAAGCCGGACGGTGGGTTCTGCGGCTCCTCGTTCGCGGTTCCGGTCGAAAGCTGTAGACGGTGGAGGAGTACAACCCAATGGTTGGAGATGTAAAACTATTTGGGTTTAGGGTTTAGGATTTCGATGGTGTTTGGGGATGGAACATGGTGAGAAGGCGAACGACCCCAAACCTCTGCAGGAGTTGGTTCCTCACCAGCCTTCTTCTGGATGAGTTTATGAAGTGACCCTCGTCTGTCAGATCGTTTGGGTTTGTCTCCACCATTTTCCCGCAGGGTTCCATTTTCGCTCGCCCTCCCCCCAGCCGCTGTTCAGGAGCTGTCGTTTGGGCATTGCTTTAACCAGAGTTTGGAGGGTGTGACGCTTCCGGAGACTTTACTGAGATTGAGCTTCGGGTACAACTTCAATCAGCCCTTGGAGGAGGTGAACTTCCCCAAAGAGTTACAGCACTTGAGCTTTGGCCATGAGTTTAATCAAACTCTTCAAGGTGTGAGGCTCCCAGATGGTCTGCTGAGCTTGACCTTGGGGTACAAGTTCAATCTCCCCTTTCGCGGGGTGAAGATGCCCGAGAACCTGCAGAGCCTGACCTTCAGCTATGACTTTGATCAAGAGTTGACAGGCGACAACACCCTGCCCGAGAGCCTCCGGAGCTTGGTGTGGCCCGGCTCCAAGAAGTCGGGGAAAAAAGACGTCAGGGCTGTCCGTTCTGTCGTCGGCCGCAAGGGGGGGAGGTTCTTGATCCAAAGCGGTCGAGGAAGATCACTTAAGGCAGACTACCCGACTCATTTTTGGGAGGTTCTCCCACTTGACCAACAGGGGACCCCCGATGCTTGGGGATGGTTGCAGGATGTTGCAGGACGCAGTCAGCCACTCCTGGAGCCATGTCAGCTCCACCCCGGTCAACCCCAGATGAAGTCCAGAAATTCAGGCTGTATGCGTACAGCCTGGAGGAGATCTACGTGGAACCTGACCATGTGCATCCATGTGCTAATTGGTGGGTCCATTTCAATATATGTTCAATGATCGTCTTCCCAAAAGGTCGCTCAGGGCATGGGTTTCGGTCACTCAGGTTTAATCTCTCTTCGATCCTTTCCTCGAACACGTGGGACTCATGACCCCCCGCTGCACAACCAGTACTGTACTTGACCACCTCGAACCTTCCCGCGGTGCCGCGGTCCCTCCAAGGGTTCCACCGTTCGCCCAGTCACGGTGACACCGTGGGAGAACGAACGTCCCCAGGTTCGGCTACAGCTTCAACCGCCGCTTGGAGTTCGTGACCTTCCCACCGAGATTGGAGGTCCTGAGCTTCGGTAGTAGCTTTGAGCCTGGGACCGTTGAATGATGGAGGGACAGCACCGTCCGACGCGGCGACAGCACGGGGGCGAGTGGAACTGAACACATGTGCGCTTCAATGCACGAAGCATGTCATGGATATTCATGGATGGCACTTGTGTAAACATCGAATGAAACAAGGTACGTATGGGCCTGAAGCCGTTTCGGGCCTTCGGACGTGAAGACGGAGAATCGACGGAGTGGAGATTGGGGGGATTGGAAGCCAAAAGCAAAAAGGCCATGAGAAGTCTGATGGTTTGTGGAATTCACTGTCCGGATCTGTCCGGTCTATCCACTCAACAACCACCTGGTGGATGAGACCACACATTAGAGCAAACGCATGAAAGATAAAACATGTAGCCAAGAGCTCGATACATCATGAAATCATCATAAAATCATCCAAATCCGACGTGCTGGATGGCTGGGCAGGGCTGGTGTTCGGCTCGGAGACGAGCTGATTCGCATTGATTCGCTCTGGCGAACCGCGTTTAGGACCGGTGGACACCCGGTGGCGTTCTCCGCGTTTCGGACACTGCGCGGCGCGGACACTGCGCGTTGAGGACCGGAGCTTGGACAAGGTTCAGCTTCCAGGTGCGGTCGGCTGGGTGTCTCGGGTGGGGATTCCGCGCATGGTGACCGGGCTGGGTGAGTCGACAGAGATGAGATCCAAAGGCATGTGTGAGATGTCTAGCTGTTCGAGTTGTTCGATCTGATTCTGTGATATTCAGCAGACAAGACCATGAAACAACTCGACTGACATTGTTTGTAGCGTCATGAAGTTCTCTCGACTCGAGGGGGCGACTGACATTGTTTGGTCGACGACGGGCGGACATGGATGTTCGGCTGACCAATCCCCAGACACGACTAATGGGGCTGCCATAGGACTGCCGCCCCATTGACCCCTTTTTCAACCACCCTGGCCTGATCGGCAGTCCTATGGCAGTCCCAGACGGGTCGTGTCTGGGATCATTTTTGACCTGGTCAGCGACTCCCTTTCTTTGACCCCTCGACGTTCGCACCACTCGACTCAGCGAGAGTTGCCTGGAGGTGGTGTGCTTTCGGCGGTGAACCGGTTCTTAGGAGATTTGCGTCGGGGCACCTTCATCACATTTCGCCCCCTCTGGTCGAACGCAGGAGAGCTGAAGATGTTGGTTTTGGGCTGCGGATTCCACCAAAGCTTGAAAGAGGCGGGTTGCGGTTTGGAGTTCATTTTTGTTTGCTGCACAAAGGAGGAAGCTGGGAAGCTGGGCAGGTTTCTTTAAGCGACTGCTCCATGGAGGGTCGAAATCCAACGGTTTCATCCAGGATTCGCTGCAACTCCACCGGTGTTCGCTGCAACCGGTGGGGGACTGATGTTCCATGATCCGCCCATGACCACGTGATGCGGAATTGGTTGCTGTACACAGCTGACCTTTCCATCCACAGGCATAGAACTCAGTTGGAAAGGCGATCTTTTAGGATGGTGGGTCCTTCATTTCAGATCAGGAACCTCATCCCATGAACCTGCCTTCTGCTCACCTTTCGCATCGAACCGGGATGTTTTCAAACAAAAATCATGAAGCCGGCCGCCGCCCCAACTCCCGCACCCACGAGGTCCCCCCCCGGCAGTGGAAACCAAACGCCCGGGCGGACGCTCGTACCGCGGCATAGACCTCCGACCGTGCGAAGACCCGTTCGATGGGATGGCCATGCGCCGCGCCGTTCTCCGCGCCGGATCGCGTTGATCCGCAGGTGTCGTTTCCGCCGCGCTTGGAGACGCTGATCTGCGAGAACCCGGAGGTCCTGCGAGACGCGTGCCTCTCCGAACACCTGCAACACCTGAGCTCGGGCGGACTGGTGGTGCAAGGAGTCTTGAGCTGAGGCGGAAGAAAAAGAAGGGGTCCGCATCCGGGTTCTGGGTGGATCGAAGTCTGATGAGTTTCATGTCATTTGGGTGATCGACATGCGAGACGACAACCCATCCAATGACTTCTGGAGGTTTCTGATTTTCCAGCTGACGACGCAACGTGTGCACACTGTTTTTGCTACCATGGACCATCAATAGGGTTAACCCCCTCTAGTGGTCGGCAAATACAGTAGACACACCACCCAAAGACAGGTTCTCGTTCTCATCATGCCTCATCTCCAAATCACTCCTATTCCCAGATGTTCTCAGCATATTAATCATTTATTTACCAATTATTTACCATTATTTACCCTTGCATGGTGCCAAACCAACTCTTCCATCCGCCAATTCACCACCGGAAATGACTCGCCCCCCGCTCCGCCAACCGCTCGGCTCCACCACCCCGCCCCACCAAGGCCCGAGGCGCCAACCGAGGCGCCAGACTCGTGGTGGAGTCTTCAAGCAAGAGAGGTAGAACGAGGGTCACACACCAACCGCGAGCAGCTCTTCGACCCCAAAAGTCATGGTGATAGTAAATGCTTTTTCATGAAGATCCTGGAGCAGCATCGATTCCCTGCGTCCCGGTGGGGGGACTGGTCGCAGGCGAGTCCCGGAGGCGGGTGCCGCCCGAGGTGCGGTCGGGTCCGAAGGGATTCTGGCAGAGAAAGTGCGGATGGAACGGATCTGGAGGATTCAAGCATGTTCTTGGGATTCTGGAGTGGCCCAAGAAACATACACTCATATACTCTCAGAATCCGGTCTTGGGACATGTTTTGGCCGGGTGTGCTTTGGGAGCCGCTTGGCGCAGGAGAAGGGCTTGCTGAAGACGCAATGCTTCTTCGAGGCGACCGAGTGTGCGCCGACGTGCGGGGGCGGCGGACCGGGTGTGACTCCGGGCTGACCTGGGCTCAGCTTCCACCTTTTCTGACAACTGGGTGTGTATGGGTGTGTATTTATCAAAGACCAAAGACCAAAGCCAATGGGTGGGGGATGGAGGGGGTATCCCTATTAAAATACACGCCCAGGATTTCTTCACTGAGGATGGACATAGCCGGCCGACTATGGGCAATTTTATGCAATTTTTGTTGCGCACTGTTTTTGTTGTATTTGGCATGTGCCTGAAGGCAACCAGCGTGAACATTCCCAGCCACAGGTTGCTAGAATCTTCACCCAATTGGTACCGAGAAAACACGGCGCCACTTCGGAACACTCCATGACATGTTCCTGCGCTTTCATGCGAAGGAGAAGGACTTGGTCATCAAGCTCTACGACACCGAGGCTGCAAACTGCTATGCATTGCTATGCACATTTCGCACCATTTGCTTTGGAAGGAGGACCTGGATTTTGGAAGGTGTGCACAGTTCGTTGGACGGTCAACTCCATAATATTGAGGTGAAAACAGTCAGCCAGATGACCATGAGTCAGCCTTTCATCCATCTTCCTGTCAGATGCGGCGTCCCATCCGTCCCCATTCGCCTCAAGCCGTCTTTTGGACGGCCAGGTGCTGGTGATCAAGGAGCGGGTGGCCGTGATGGCGACGGCGAGAACGAGCGGACGGCGCCCAGTGAGTCGGGTCGGGGCCCGGACGAAGCAATTTCAGATCCTTCGACCAGCGCCCGACTTCACAGGTCACGAAACCTGAGGGTTCGGGCCCCGAAACCGTAACCCTCCAGTTCGGAGACCTGTAGAGTCGGGTGCTGGTAACGTTAAGATGGTTGATAAATAGCTCCCCAGTATCCAGACTTGACGGGCGAGATGGTGAGAGAAATGCCTCCAGGCCAACCCGCCAAACCCCCAAACCCGCCAAACCAGACCCTCTCTCAGACCCCGACCTCTCCACATCGAACTCCGGAGGTGGCCGCGCGCGCCACCCACGCGGAGTGGCCGCGCGTCGCCGGGGGGTCGTCGTCGTCTCCCCGCCGAAGGAGAAGACGACGAAGGACGACGACGACGGGTCCGGGGGCCCCGGTTTTCCCGCGGACGCCCCGGGCGCGGCGCGGGAACGGCACCACGAGGCGCGGGCAGAAGCGATTGGTCCGGTGACGTGGATGGGTCCCATCTTCGGAGCGTGTTGCAGTCTCCCCCCGGTTTCGGCGGCCGACAGGTCAGAACCTGGCCTGCCGACCAGTGACAAGTGGTTTCGTGCTGGCGTTTCTGAAACGGCCTGGCTATTTTGTTTTAGGTTTTCTAGATTGGTGCGTTGTTTTTCTTTCAGTTTTATGTGTGTCCAATGTTTTTAATCATATTTGTTTCCTAATTTTGGTCCTATGATGTCCTATGTGTTTTCTTATGATTTTCAATGGGGATTGGAATTGGTTGGGTACCCAGAAGAGCGATATTTTTTATCCAACTTTTGTTGATTAAGATGGAGGCTTGTATATAAGTAGAAACCAGAACATATTTAGAACACACATATATATATATATATATATGTTTTTGCAAGTCGATTCTATAGAGGTGTTGTAGTGATGGTGAGGTGGATCTTTCATGTTTGTTTGTCACGGACAGCAATTCTAAAGAGATGAATCCCACCCAAACTCCCTCCAGATCCTTTCACTACATATCCCTGGGGGAAATACAGGGGAACACCCCACACTTCCCCAGTGGATGACAGTGGATGGTATATATGGGGATGGTGGGAGGTCTTTCCTTTATGGGGTTGTAGCCTTCAATTTTATGGATAATGACAATCTTATTTGGATGTAAGGAGCTCCAATTCTATAGAACTTGAACAACATTTTCCAATATTCACAATGATGTTCCGAAACAATTTTGGGCTGCTAATAGCCTCTTCCTCCACTCGACATCAGTTGACCTTCTATAAATTCACAGTCCCTGGTATCCTTGTCTTCACTATAAATTTGGGTCCTTCCAAGAGGCTCAACAGGTGAGTCGATGCCTTCCTGGACAGGGATCTTTTGATGTTTGGCTCCAGTGCCCCATATTCTATAGAGACTCATGTTTTTACTCTAACAAAACACCTGTTCGACAGTATCTCAGGACCAGCATTTTATCTTCGACTCATTTTTGCCCGATAAATTCGCTACCCCCGACCCACCCGTCACTTAATTCCAATGGGGGCTTCTTTTCATCTATAATTTTGTTGTTTTGCATTTTCCAACGCCAAGCTTCATTCAGTTCAACACAAAAGCAACTGTAAGTGATCGCCACACCCAGTTCGATGTGACGGGGCTGAGGCCTGGGGGCTGGGCTGGGCGGGCTTATTGGACTGGCGGTCGTGGTCCGTGTTACGAAGCGTTGGTCGTGGTTCCCTCTTTTCGTTCTGGACTCCGAGCCATGAGTTCTCCCCTGCAACTCTCGAGCCATGAGTTGCACCTGAACGAGCTACTGAACGCGTTGACGGGTCGAACCCTGCAAGAGGCGGAATCCCATGGGCGACCCTGTCGGGGTCCTGTCTGGATGACCCTGCAATTCTCGCGCTTCGGACGCGACGGTCGGAGGGTCCTGGCCTCGTCCGGCGGCGGCCCAGGTCCGAAACGCAAAGCCTGGTGCCGCGCTCAGAGCGGGTTGGGTGGCGATGGGAGTGAGCTGGAAGGGGGCCAGGAGTCAAAGAACTGGCCATATGGATCTAGAACCTGAGGGTTCCCAAGTCTGATTTTTCTGAGGCCACCTGCAACTGTTGAGGCCACCAGGAGATGCCAGGAGTTCCCGCCGTGGAACGACGCGCCCTTCCGCCGTGGAAACGACGAGGTCTTGGAGCTGACCAGCGGCGGCTTCCGGACGGCTGAGACCAAGGCCATCCTCAACGAGGCCGGGGGGCATGGAGCGGGCATGGGTGCGGGGCGGGGGCGGGCGTAAGAGACGTGGAGAAAGCTTGAGAAACCTAGCGCCCAATGTGTTATATTTTTTTGCCAGTTGGTGTGAGAAGGTGTTGGATGCAGCTGTTGGTGAGTTGTGGGGTGTTGTACCCACAGAGAGGAAAAGGTTCGCTGCAACTCATCGCGAAAGGTCGCCTGGCAAAGGGCTAACCTTAGGCTTTGCAACCTGTTCCGGGACCAACCAGTGAACTATCAATTCTATGACCCGCCCCCTCCCCCCTTTAGTGATTCTTCATTTCTTTGGGGGTCCGGTCTATCCGTGGCTTGGACTGCTGTGGCCTATATGGCCTATGTGGCGTTTGGCAGAAGTAGTGCTGGTGGTCGTCTTGCTGGTGCCAAAGCAGTGGTAGTCGTGCTAGTATTACCAGTGGGCTTTCTTGTTGCGCCAGTGGGTCCGGGTCCGCGGGGTCGGTCCAGCGGGGGTCGTAGTGGTAGTAGTGAGATGTAGTGAGACCGAGGCGGCTCTGTAGTGAGACCGAGTTCCTGCGTAGTTCCCGCGTCAACCTGAAAATGGTGCAATGGTTGCTCGAGCGTGGAGCTCGCAGCAATCAGGATGAACACAGTCAAGGCATGTGCGACATGAAGCTATACCACACACTAATCAAGGACGAAGCCAAGAAGTGGACCCTCGTAAGTCATTAAGAAACGTTTAGACGCATTGTTTACAAAACAATAGTAAATGTTTCAATGATTGACAATCGATCTTCCTGATTCCTTGTCTTCCACCTTTTTTTGCGCTAAGAGATATCAGTCAAACATGATGTGATCCATTGCCACCGAAGGGTAATTGATGATGACAATGCATGATCTTTATGCTGTTTCATGTAAAATTTTCATCTTGATAGTCCTGGTTTTCTTGCTCTTGACAGTGAAGGGCTTAGACATCTAGGGGTTGAAGATTCAACTTTTTGTCGTGCAGCCACCAAGGAAATTCCATGGGGATTGTCAATGCAAGTACACTTAGAGTCCAGGCTGTTGGACAGACTCACACTGTCAAGATGCCGCATTATCTGACATTTGTTTGCATTCACCAGATTCTGCCACCAAATCAAAATTGGGATGGTGCAACTCCCATGCTTTTTGGATTCGCACCAATCAAGGAACCCTTTGGGTGTTTCTTTCACCTCAACATACCTCAACT